GTACTTGATCAAAACCTACGTAAATAATTTCCATTAACATTTCTGATCAGGATGACCACGCTCAGGACCATAGACGTTCTTATATCTATATATGGAAGATAAAATACTTTAGACATAGTTTAATTATTGTTTCTAAATCACATTCAGCCATCTCTTACCTATGCGCATTGCCAACTGTTGTATTTGATGAATTAATTCGAATATAATGAGCACGTGGTTTCCTGATCAGGATGGCCCCGGTCAGGACCGTATACGCTACTAGCTATATAGTTATAGACTATACGGCTTATAACAATTATTGTAAGTCGGGGTTCTATTTCTTAATTAAAACGACTCATTAAAAAAAAATCATTATGATGCTTCTCTTGACCGTTCGCATTGCTAGCTTTTTTATTTCCATTTAAATTCCTGCTTTGGATCTTATACTAGTATGCAACTCGAAGATAAAATAGTAATAACTGTCACCTTTATGCATTTGATCCATTAATACGGATATAATGAGTACTTGATATATTGATATGGGTGTCCCTGTTATCTGTTACCGGTTACGTTACAATATCAGCATATAATTAAAGAGATTGACGATTGATTTGGGGTTTTTTTTCATTTCAAATCACCTCTCTTGACTGCAAACTTTGCTGCCTTTATATATTTTATAAATAACTACGCATAGATTCACTATAACATATCCTGTCTGATCATGATGTCCGTGCACAGGACGTATTGTTGTAAAAATTCCAACACGGTGACAAATTAGGTCTGCTTCTTGTATAAAACTTTACATTGACTGTCTACTTCAATTTTCTTAGATGGCTTGAAATTTCTTTATCACATTCTGATAGTCTAACTAGTTGTGTTTCATTAGGAAATCTCTGGTAATATCCACAAGGAAAAGAAAGAAAGTTAAAAAAAAACTACAACGAAAATGTTTCTGTTCTGACATAACTTCCATGAATTTCCAACGTAATTCATTCTACAAGGACCAGCCTTTTTGTAAAAAAGTTCTAAAGAAGTCTCTTCATTATGGTTAAGGTACATCAAAAAGGTATATAAATCAATCAGAAGAACAGTATACAAAACAGCTTTCACGACAAAGTTCAGTCAAATCTACCAGACGACCAAACAGCACCGGAAGTGAGTGACGGTAAACAATGGATCTCCGCACTGAATGTTGGAAAAAAATATATTTCATAATCTATAGTCTATTGTGTTCTTTGATAAACAGAATAAAGAGAACCAATTTGTCTTTATTTTTAATGAATATATTTACACAGAAATATGTTTTTTTTAACAACAACTACAAACTTGTGGTTTTTTTTAGTCACATGACAACTGTTGTTATTCAGACAAGAGTTATCTTTCTTTGATTGATGAGATAGAAACAAAAACTTAAATTAAAGAAAATCTGTAATATGCTACATATTTTATTTTTTGATATTTTGTAGAGAAAAAAATACTCTTCAAAGCGATAAGAGTATATTTATATAAAACTCCTGCTCATGGAAGATATTTGCTTTTTTTTTGTACAAAGGATTGTGGGGGGGAAAACTGGTATGGCCCATAACTCCATTGTAGCACAAGAAAGAAGCAGCTGTCTTTTATCATAAACAAACATAAAATTTCTCTCAAAATTGCCGTTACTTTTTTAAACAAAAAAATATCAAGATATTCTCTAATTTAGTGTATAGCCCTTTCAAATCTTTTTGCATGGTTCTTAGCTGGAATCTTCCTTAAGAAAATTGTCTGTGAGTGGTGTGCCAAACTGGAGCCTTCTCTTTCTACCATCAGTCAGTATAGCGAAAAGCTTACCGTCCGTGCTGTACGAGTTCTTCACACACTGAAGCTTATACACTCATAAAGCCTTGTTTTACAAAAGGTTTAAACCTCCGTCCAAAATAAATGGCTTCATTCTGGTCTTTGTCGCGGAGAAAATGACGTAAATTTTCTACAATGACGTAGGTATCATCGTCGGCTTTCAGGAACCAATCATAATTGTTTAGATGCGAAGAGTAAATATGTAAAAATGCTTCTTTTGTTTTTTGCCATAAATATTCTCGACCTTCCTTGACCGGAAGTTCGACAACCGGAAGATGTTTTGCCTTGCCTTGTGTTTCATTAGAGCCCATGAACAAGATTTTGTCGCATCGTTTACCCCACGTGTTTTGTACATGTGTCGCCTTGGATACGACCGTCAGGGGAGACGTCCTTATCCAGCAACGTAGCCGTCCTCCCGAAGAAGAAGAGTCTAGACTGAATAAAATTGCCAACATATACTACAAAGAACTATCAACACACTACATAGAGCGATCAATATGAAATACATGGGACATTCCACAAAATACATATGTACTACACATACTATACTGACAAAAAAAGGAACTGTGAATGCCTAAAATGAGTTATAAAAATAAATGTGTATGACGTAGAACAACAAGGTGTTCAGGGACAATTTATTTGTTATTTATTACCAGTTGCATTCCATTTTCCACGGTATGGAATCAATAAGTTCCGTTCAGGAGTGACGTAAATACAGCAGGGGTCAATACTGAGTTCACAAAGTTTTATTTAAAAGAAAATTGTCTGTGAGTGGTGTGCCAAACTGGAGCCTTCTCTTTCTACCATCAGTCAGTATAGCGAAAAGCTTACCGTCCGTGCTGTACGAGTTCTTCACACACTGAAGCTTACACGCGTCCTTGAGGATCTGCTGGTTGATCTTCGTGAGATCCTCAAACACCGTGTATCCAGTTTTCTTCAATTTATAGCGGGATTTGATGACCTCGTTCTTTCCCGGTTGAACTCTCCAAGACGGTGAGCAATGCCAATGTCCCCACTAGTAATATCCACCTCAAGTTTAGAAGACACAAAGTTCACGAATTTGTCCACACATTCCTCCACAGTCTCTGAATCAGATGTGTCCTTCAGTCCGTGTATTCTGAGTGAGTTCTTGCGGCCGTGTTGCTCCAAATCGTTATGACGTGCCTCTATAGCGTCCTTAGAACACTGGAGATCACCGCATTGAGTCTCCAGGTTTCCAATGGTCAGCCGGAGATTCTCATTTTCCTTTTCCAGTTCGAACACTCTCCCTTTGAGTTCTTCAACCAGTTCTCTATTTTCCTCTCGTATGGTTTCTTTCAACTTCTTCATCTTGGAATCAAAGTCTGCCTTTGTTATGAGTGTAGTTAACAAGGATGTAATCTCATCGAGTCTGTCCTCAATATTCTTATCCGCTCCCCTGGTCTTAACCCCGGCTGCTCCTCCCATACTGTGCTTTCTGTTGGCCATGGTTTCCACTGAGTATTAATACCTATATATCAAGTCAACATATACAAGTTCATGTAGTTAGAGTGTGCTGTGAGCAGTAGTCACTAGGTAGGGTATCAGGCCATTGTCCTAACTCCAAACGTCCAAAACACACATTTTCACCAAAAGTTCCAGAAAACAGATACTGATAAGGGATAAACTATCCACTTATGAAGTATGTAATCCAAAAATTATACTACAAAACGTGAAAATAAAAAAACACTATTTTGTCGGAGCCCCAGACAAAGGACTACCCAGGCCCAGCGTGACCTTGACCTTTATATTATATTAATTTATCTTATAAAAAAAAGAAGAGATCTTTTATGAGATATCTTATATAATATATAATATATGTTATAAAGTATATAAGATATCTCATAAAGTATATAAGATATCTTATATAATTTGGTTAAGTACTGGATAAATGACAACTTGGCTTGCCATAGGATTGCGTTCCGTATCTCAGTGCGCGCTTTTTAGTTTAACCGGTCTAGAAAGAGTTGAGTGCGTTTGTATAACTGGACTAGAACTGCAATATATAGAAATACATTAATGTGATAAACAAATGAAAATCAGTTTATTTGTTTATATTACATACATATATTAAAGCAAAGAATATACTTGTAATCCATCACGCACACTTTTCACCGGTAACCTTATTTCGTAAAGTGTGTGTATGACCGTCTACCAGCTAGGTATATTGAAAACAAGGTAAAATGCTTGTAAAAGGAAAGGACAAATGTAATAGTCCAGACAGGGATTGGAATCTGGGACCTCCGAACTCTTAGACTATAGGCGGCTCTACCTTGTTGTCGGCGATTGACCTAGTCCAGTTCCACTACATGTACTTGATTCATAAATCATACATGTGATTTAAATTATCTACGGTGTATACAATTGATGAACCTCAACTATTGAATAAAGGAAATAACAGGATGCAGTGAGCAACGAAGGTGGTGCAGAGTCCGGGAGAAATTATAGCTTTTAATATAGTGTACATTCTGACTCTCTACAAAACAATATATGATAGAGGCGAGTACTCCAGGCTATATGAATGTATATGTAACTAAGGGCCGCTTTCGTTTATCGCGATCCAAAAGGTTGAACCGGTTGGACCAGAATGGTTCGTTTATGAAATATGGTCGGACCTAGTAATCCGATGCTGTTTTCAGTTGGTCCTTCACAAAGCCTTGCAAGGCCTGCAACTATTAGATTTAAAAACAGACGAGCCGATTGTTCTGCATAAACAAAGAGACCCCTGCAGGATTTAAAGGTGACAGTTTAATATCGTTTGGTTTGTTCCCATGTAGGAACAACAATGCCATCTAGGATGGCCCAATTGGTACAAATACAATACAAATAGCCGCACACATAGTCCACTTTACCAAGAATATGCCAATTTTAGTCTATTTTAAATTTTTTATTCACATAATAGACAAAAATTACAATATAAGTTGAAAATATCAGCCTTGTCCGTGGTAGAGTACGTTACTATATATATTGCTACCATGTGAGTGACACTTTTCGAGGCACCCGACTTCCGTTCCGTGACGCGCAAGCCCCACGTCACTAGAGTAAATATAATGCTCTTTTAGCTCTATTGCATGTCATTGGCCTTGCGTAGCTGCAGCTTAATCGTCAACCAACAAGCCAAGTACCGGATGTTGCGTCATCTTCAGTCAGGTACGACGTCAAACAGTCTAGCGCGTCAAATTGTACACAAAGTAGTCCATGGCATACATCATGTTAGGCGTGATGTAATGGAAGGATATCGCTGTGCGACTGCAACCCTGGAAAGAAAATATTAAAAAAAAAAAGTAGCGAGTATAAACTTTATTTAATTATATTATCCATACAAGTGTGGCATATATTAATTGACGTAACATTCGGTCGCCTTTTACTTTCGCGCATCCTCGATATCAAGGGGTTACGCTCACTTTCGCTCCCCTTAGTGTAGATGAGCGTAACCCCTGGATATCGAGGATGACTTTCGAGCTAGGGGAATTTCCCTTTATTTAATTAGCTCACACACGCAGTAGAACATCCGACAAGAAAGTCTGGGTTCGCGGGTTCGATCCCCGGTGGAAGCACGTTACACTACCATCTTTCCTGTTACACAAGTATAATTTTCTTTTGCCTTTTCCCTCAATGTTAGACTTTTTCATGTTATATCGTATAACCTAAAAATCAGACACAGCAAAAAATGATGACGTCATATACCCAAATGTTTGGCGCGGTATTTGTAATTTGTGCAAAGTGCAAACAGTTTTTTCGGTATATATACTGTATAAACCCAGAGATGTTTGGGCGGGCTTCAAATAGGCAAAAATTCTACATTGTAAACTTGAAAGAGAGTGTAAGAGCCAATAACATTCTAAATATGAACCAGAACGTTTCTACATTTTACACTTTCAGCGCTAGCACAGGGCCTTAAGCTTCCTCCGTTGACGTCGCGAGCAATATACAGACATAAGCTTTCAAACAAATATTTTCAAAATGCACTGATCCGTTTCTGCCAGTAAAATGAAGTAAATACAAGATGCCATATATTTCTTTACTTGTATTTCACCAGCTATATACGCGCCCGTTGCGCCCCCTCTAACTGAAAATCCAGGATCAGCCCCTGGGCTCGGACCAGATGTGTGACTACCTGTAATGCCTACCTGTAAGTGTGGGTAATAGATGTGAGACCAGTACCAGCTATTTTTCGGAATATTTCCCCGTACGATATGGTCTTCTGGTCGTAGTGGAAAAAATCTCTCCTTTCCTTCGGAGTCCCGTGTATCTCCAGCCTTCACTCCCACCATTTCCAGGCACTGGCCAAGCTGAACATCCTCGCCGATAAATGTTGTGGGTTCGCATTTAGAGTTCAGATAGGAAGTAGTAGAATTTCCGTACTGTACAAGAGATCGAACCGCCTGTCGACTAAGCACATAGCCTGCCCCACCACTCATAAAGCCTTGTTTTACAAAAGGTTTAAACCTCCGTCCAAAATAAATGGCTTCATTCTGGTCTTTGTCGCGGAGAAAATTACGTAAATTTTCTAAAATGACGTAGGTATCATCGTCGGCTTTCAGGAACCAATCATAATTGTTTAGATGCGAAGAGTAAATATGTAAAAATGCTTCTTTGTTTTTTGCCATAAATATTCTCGGCCTTCCTTGACCGGAAGTTCGACAACCGGAAGATGTTTTGCCTTGACTTGTGTTCCATTAGAGCCCATGAACAAGCGTTTACCCCACGTGTTTTGTACATGTGTCGCCTTGGATACGACCGTCAGGGGTGACGTCATTATCCAGCAAAGTAGCCGTCCTCCTGAAGAAGAAGAGTCTAGACTGAATAAAATTGCCAACATATACTACAAAGAACTATCAACACACTACATAGAGCGATCAATATGAAATACATGGGACATTCCACAAAATACATATGTACTACACATACTAATCTAGCAAAAAAAGGAACTGTGCATGCCTAAAATGTGTTATAAAAATAAATGTGTATGACGTAGGACAACACGGTTTTTCAGGGACAATTTATTTGTTATTTATTAACAGTTGCATTCCATTTTCCACGTTATGGAATCAATTAGTTCCATTCAGGAGTGACGTAAACACAGCAGGGGTCAATACTGAGTTCACAAAGTTAATACCTCGTATATCCACCGTTTGCCTGAATGCAAGTCTGGCAACGTCGACGCATGGAGCCTATCAGACGGTTCAAGAATGCTTGTGGGATGGCATTCCAGATCTGTACCAACGCTGCAGCCAAATCAGCCAACGTCACTGGTTGATTAGGTAATGCCCGTAATCTGCGCTTCGCTTCATCCCAGACGTGTTCAATGGGCGACAGATCGGGGGATACAGCAGGCCAGGACAACACATCAACGTTCTGATGGGCCAGAAAGTCCATAGCGACACGAGCTGTGCGTGGCCTGGCGTTGTCCTGCTGTAGCGTAATGTGACGTTGCTGCCCTTGCACGAATAGAACGACGTGGGTCCGGAGGATCATGTCACGGTAACGTAGCGCGTTCAAATTCCCGTTAACAACCACCAGAGGCGTTCTCCCGTTGGCTGTGATGCCGCCCCAAATCATAACGCTGCCTCCGCCGAAAGAACGTCGTTGTACCACACACGCGTCACGGAAACGTTCTCCAACGCGACGATACACTCTGGAACGGTCGTCACTACTATGCAGGTGGACTCGCGACTTGTCCGTTAACAAAATGCCTGCCCTAACCCGTCGAGTAAATCGCAGATGCCTTCTGCACCAGTCCAGACGTGCTACACGATGACGTGGCAGAAGAACGTTCACGCAATCGGTTTCGTACAGTTCTCGGGCTTATTGGTAGCAACCCAGGGATTGTCCGTGCAGTCAAACTTGCCGTTTGGAAGCGATTTCTCAAATGTACAAGCCTAATATGGTGGTCCTGTTGACGTGACGTCACACGTGGAGGTCGATCGCCGACGTGACCATACTGTTGATGTCTCCACAAGTTCCGGATTGTGTTTCGATGGACATGAAAACGTGTAGAGACAACGGCTTGGCCCATAACAGCTTGAAGCATACCAATAATCCGAAGGCGGCCATTTTCATCGAGCCTCGGCATAGCATTAATCACAAAATTAATGCTGTTTTTACTGTTCATTGGTCTCAACAGAGTGACCCAACAGTTGAAAAATAAACTTGTCGAATTGCATGGCTGGACGAGAAAAACGTGCAAACTGGTCAACGTCTATAGAGAGCAAACTGCACGGGGAAAACTGTCAATGGCACAAGGAGAGTGTGTATGTGTCATACTCGGTCATGTGTGTGAATTTTCATGTATATACAGTTGGTAATATATGTTCTATAACAATTCTCCGCATGCAGTTTCTTTTTCCGCTAGTATATATTGAGCGCTCAACATAATGCATTACACGCCCAATTCCAATATTGCTGCCACACCAAACTGTTTATCAAATTCAATAATGCATTCCGTTAGCATTAAACAATTCCGGTCACCAACAAAAAAAATCCTCCAATATTTCTCAAACATAATTGAGGTACACGCACAGTAAATTTCAAGAAAAAAACATTCAATAACTGATGAAAATCTAACTTTTTATGTGTTTATTTTCCAAGCTAAATAAAAGTCACAATTCAGGAAAAAAACCCATTTATACTTGTAAATATCATAAGGTTGGATTGTCCATGGAGATGCATTCGTTGAGAAATTGTAAGAAAAAGTGTCAAATCTCCAAAATAATTGCATTCACTGCATACTTCCCACCTCTCAAAAAGGAAAAGTGTGGGTAATAAATCACTTGCTGCCACAGTCCACTGCACACCTAATCCCCTTTCATGGCCAATCATGATCACATGACCATGAAAGGGGATGGCGTGTAACAGAACTACCTGTAGGAAAAAAGGGGGAGATAACAACCATCAAGTGGAGAGTACATTGGAGAAAATAATTTAAGGTGGCTCCACACTTTCGCAATTAACCAGCAAAATTCGTTGAAACTTTCATATAATGGTTATGCAACTATGTAGAGTTGATTTTATGAAAATCTTAACATCCCGATCGTTTGGGGACTTTTTTGGAAAAAATACCAAAAAATTGAATTTTCGTCAATTTTAATGTTTTCCAGGTTTTGTGTGTGTGGCATTGTACGGAACAATAACAACAATAATAAAATGAAAAGAAGCATTTCTAATTAACCCTACAAATATTTTATTTATCGCAAAATATGTAACACATGTTACACAAAGTGTTTTTTATTGAATTTGTACGGATAAAAGTGATTATCTACAAGCTAAAAGCAAACAGGACACAAAGATCTATACATATAGAAAGGGAAATTGAACAAAATATACACTATGGCTTTATAATTATTTTATTTTACATTTTACAATCACTTCGATCCGGGTGAGAGTCATCTTCCTTGAAAAAAAATCGGAACTTTTTGCGATGGGGTGACATTTACACAATGACAGTTGCCTCTGTTTACATATAACAAAAATGATGGAAACAAATCAAAAATATGATATCAAAATTATCAATTTACTGTTCTTTAATGGAACCAAATTACCCTCAGTCATGTACACTTTGGACATCATTCCACAGTCCGCAAACTCACGGTATATTTATAATTACACGTCAGGTACATATGTGACCAGAGGCTATCGCATGGTATGCCGTTCTCACGTGCACTCACACATGCATTTCATAGGTATCTTGATATTTTACAAAACGTTATTTTCACAGAGTCAGTAGACTACATTTGTAAACACGATTTAATCGACAGAGCGAAACTCCCTCAACAGCGAAAATCGAAACGACCTTAAGCTTATGAACTCGTGTAAGCACGTGAAATGCACATGTGAGGGCGGTACGTCCGCATTCCATGCGTTTCCTATATGACCTTCTTGAGGTCGTTTGGTCTCATGTCACGGTCTTCCTGTGAGTCTGTTTATGTCTATGAATTGGAAAGCTTTATTTCTGAAGTACGTGTGATTATACATTTCCCGATAAAATCTCGATATCGGGTGTTGACATATCATCGGCACGCACGTGTACTATTGTTTACCAGGGGCCTGTTCGTTTATGCGGAGCAACCGGTTTGACCGTTTATAAATGTAACAATTTCGGGTATAAATCCTTGCGGACCTGCAAATGTGTATGCAGGCATTGCAATGCTTTCTCAAGATTACTAAGTCCGACCTTATTTAATAAACGAACAACAGTGGTCCGATCGGTTTGACCGTTTAAACGAAAACGGCCCAGGTGTAACTATAATTTGCACTACGATATTGAATGCCCGATACGCAATACGGAAATGACGACACGGTGTACATGCACATTTCGATCAAGATAATTGAGTCCGAGCTGTAGTTTTTTCCGTAAGTACGTCACGAAAATGGACGCTGATGACGATGTGTGGAGCCACCTTAATGATATATCCTTTTTTTACATTGTAATTTTAATTTCCTGGTCTGCTTTTTTTCAGTACAACAATCAATTATAAATGAATCAATTTGTGAAATTAATTAATCAATTCATTCATTCATTCATTCATCCATCGTTTCATCTTACTTCATATAAATAGTACAACATTCTATACATCGAGCATACAGTGTACCTGTCTCCCAAAGACGTTTCTCATCCTCCAGTGTAAGGTTGTCAGTATGGCCTACGATTTCTTTTCCTTTTGAAGCTAACTCCTTCATAAAGACTTTGTGTACTGATATCCATTATATCAGAATAACTTTGTGACGGTTCCAATAGAAATTTCCCCAAACCATCATCATCCGAAAAAACACTTGTATCCATTATGAAGGATACACTCAGTCTGGGCTATTGAGAATAAGACAAACTTACCTGGTTCTGATTAGTACTCACTCACACAGGTACATGTAAATTATCTGCAGTGTAGGGTAGGTAAAAAGATTGTCCAGCTGAACATTTTTTTCTGTTTTGTTTGAGCTGGGAAGCATGCAGTAAGTCAGTTATTGCATGATCTCTCGTCACTCGGGACTTATTACACCCCATATTTCCCCTCAATAAATCCAGACTGAGCACAAAGCGGACAAGGCTGACCGAGGTTGGAAAAAAGCATGCAAAGCAAGTGCGACTTTTACCTGTACACCATTCACTACAGGTTCTCACTCAGGTAATATTGCTTGACTTGTATCAAAAGTCTTGTTAGCTTGATGAATTATTGTAAAATTTCCAATCAAAATACATGTCATCATTCTCGAGATTTGAAGCATGTTCTCACATTTTTCTAGACAAATGCATTTCCATGGACATCCAACCTTATGTAATTTACAAGTATAAATCGTGATTTTTTTCCTGAATTGTGACTTTTATTTAGCTTGGAAAATGGACAGATAAAATCATTTTTAATCAGTTATTGAATGGGTTTTTTCCTTAAATTTAGAGTGCATGTACCTCAATCATGTTTGAGAAATATTGGAGGATTATTATTTTGGGACAGGGTTGTTTAATGCTAACGGAATGCATTATTGAACTTGATATACAGTTTGGTGTGGTAGCCATATTAGAATGTCCTCAACAAAATTCAA